CTTGGATACCACCATTTGGGGCTACAGAGATCTCATCAAAAAAGTAAAGTGGTTAACCAGTAATATGAGAGTTGAGGTAAAATGGGTTAGTAGGTCTGCTAATTCTTTGGYTGATGCTTTAGCCAAACAGGGGGTTTCTAGGGAAGATCTTTTTTGTGCTTCTATGTAAGTTGTTATTAATGTGGAAATCTGTACTTAACTAGCCCGGAGAAGTTGCAACTCGTACCTCTCCTTGAGGACTTTGTAATATTGTCTATTGCTGTTTTATAAAATCATTTCAATTATCAAAAAAAAAATAACAAAATTTTCACTAAGGAAGCAACAACAGTACAACTGGTATCTAATCCCTAATCCTAAAATAGAATGGATTGCAACTAAAATCACAAAACTAACCCCTTCATAAATATGGACCAAAAATTTAGGGTAGGAGTATGGATTTTTTTGGTTGGGTACTTGGGCTTACCTTAAGGGGCCCTTTAGGGAGGTGGAGGGTGAACTTCATAGGATTAGAAAAGCAAGATGTTTAACATCACACCAGCTACTTGAAGCAATGAAGCTAGGAGGATAAACAGATTGAAAGGTTCACATGCTTGAATTGTTGAATGCATGGCACTTTGGTATGAACTGCATATGTTTCCCTTCACTTCCATATTTTCACTTTGAATATCTTTTAAATGTTATATACTTTGAGAAATGGCTTTTTAATTCAGGTTTGCATTTTTTTTAATGTATTACTGCTTCTTTTCTTTTTTTTTTAAATATTTTTGCCCTGCTTTAGAAAGGCATGCGCCTTGGGTCCTAGAAGGCTCTTGAGCTTTTTCTTGTGCCTTGCACTTTTAAACACTGCAGTATAGTGACCTCCAATGCATTCTTTTGCATCTCAAACCTAACCATGCCCGAACATTTTCATTAATTAAACCCGGATTTTAATTTATTTGTAAGTTATATGGTATCTACTCTAGGTCAGTTTCAATGCAAGCATTCAATGAAAGAGCTAAAATATTACTTGCAATGCAACTTTTGCAACTTATTAACCCCTTCAGATTTCTTTTCTTTTACCATCAATAACCTCAAGCATTGCAGGCTTTGCAGCAAAATAATAGTTCTTAATTAGTCTCTCAAACAATAATTCAGAACCATTTTCCTTCTGTCATTGGTGCATAAATTTGGATGCTTCTTTCACCAGCAGTATTTTCTTTCCACATTTCGAAATAGAAAAGGGCAACCATGTCAAGATGTCAACAAAGCGTCATTCTCACCCAGGAGATCTCATGAACCAAAAATTAAATAATCTAATGACACTACTCGACCAGTAAATTGTATTATTTTTTTCCAGAAAGGCAGAATAATTTGGATACGGAGCAATGCTTTTCACCACCATTTGACCCAGCTGATTTGATCAGTGGCATAATCACCATTCCAGTTCCAGTCAACCTGTGACACACCATTTTACAAAAAAAAAAAAAAAAAAAAAAATGGTAGGAGAAGAAAAGAAGAGAAAAATTGTGGTGTTTGATCCTATTGACTCATTCACCAGGTTACTGGGTTTTATTTTTTTGAAAATTTGTATTGTGGTGACATCATGGATTGACCTGGACAGTTAAACTGGCAACCTGTCCACCCAGAGGGAAAGTGATTCGGCCTCTGGAATGGCAGAGTCCAAGAAAGTAAGTCTTCCAACTAGGTCCATCATTTGTTTATTTAATATTGGCAATGAACAGTGGGTTGTTACCTCCTAGATATGCACTGCATGCACAGATGCAAAGAAGTTCCTCATGTCTTTGTAAAAGCAATGGCTTAAAATCTTGATAGTACTTACTAATGCAACTTGTGTTTTTGAACCACTAGTTACAACTCAAAAGAAAATGGGCAAGGTTTTAACTCCCATCAAAGGCAACCATGTAAAAAGAAAATAATAAATTAGGCAAAGTTAAAATCCTAAATATATGGTGAATTATGTATACCTTGTTTTTTATGTCCTTTGCGGAATCTGTCACATATATTGCAGAATTTGGATCACTGGCAGACATTTTTCCTGTCTCCCCCTGTAAAAATTGAAATAAAAAAAAAAAAAAACTAAGATTTATAAATAGAAGAATGTAAGAGACAGAACACATATGTAGTCATCAACAAAACCAATGAGATTTTTTTGAATTATTGACAGTAAATTTTGTTGAGAAAAAAAATGAATAAAATACACAGCGGACTCACCCTCCAAAATACTTAGATGTAAACAATAGAATATCTGCACAGCCATTGGCTGACAGAACCAAACAATTAATCTAACAACAATATAAGAACCATTTGTGCCTTCTATTTGCTTAGGAACTTTTTTCCACATCATGTGTCTTCTCTTCTCTTTAAAAAATCCAATTAACATAGTCTTGAAGTTACTTATCAAAAACAAAAATAAAATAAAGAATACCTGAAGGGCAGGGAAAAATGAGGATTCAATCAATGAAGGCTTCTGATATCCTATCCTAGGAGCAACATCTCGTGTCATTCTGAAATATGGATCCTGAAGAAATTGGCAAAACAAAAAGTGGAGTTTGGTCAGGAAAACAAGTAAATACATGCTGCTATGATGTATTTCAGTGGAAAAGCTAAGTATGGTGGTGAAAAAGAAAACAAATCTAAGGAACTCATTCTGATTGATGGCAAACAGCATAATATTTGTGGCACATATAAGGCTCCTACTATTAGATTGAGTCAACATGGAATTGCCCAATAATACAACACAATTTAGTGATAGTATCATCCATATTGTAGACAATCTTTCTTTTTTCCCTACAGTATCCACCTGTAAATAGTGACTGTCAAAAAGAACAAGTATAATTGATGGTTATGGATATCCAAGTGGATATTCAGGTGATTCATGTTAACCGATTTCCACATGTAAAATAGATAAAGTCATTTGATATGCCACAGGAAGACTATCCTTCCGTTTACTAACAGGCACCCTTCCTTTTCAAAATAAATTAATTAATTAATTAATTAATTAGCTGCAATACAAGTAAAATGGCTAGTGAAATTGCTAACAAGAAAAAAAAAAGGAACCTATGAGCACATAGAAAGGCAAAAAAATAAATGCCCCAGATATAAAAAATGCATATTACAATATTTTGAAAAAAAAAATAATAAATGTTTGTGCATAATGCCTTACTTACCAATATTATTCAATACTATACTCCAAATGAATAAAAGTTTTAATATTTAGAAACAGAACCTGATCTATAGCACATGGAATCAAGCAACGGAGATCATCTTTGCCAGAAAAGAGGTGTGGAAATGAACTGGGGAACGATGGAACTGCCTGCAGTTAAAGCCAAACAAACATAAGCATATCAACAGGCTCTAATAGGTGTTCCAATGCAGAAACATGGTAAACATTGTACAGACATGCATGTGTGGTATCAAAAGGCGCAACTTGGCCTAGCCGCACTACCTTGGTTTGGCTTAGTTTGAAGTATTATAATTATAGACCTGCAAAGTAGATTTTTAACACTCCTCCCCCACTTTGCCATGAACTGATTTTATCAGGTGCAGAATACATGTTTTCCTCTTAAAGATGCATATAGACTCTCTGAACATTATAAATCAATCACCAACAATTTCAAATGATAACTTAGCCATCCCATGGTAACAAACATTTTATAATAAATTTATCAGTACCATAAATTCTTTATTAATAATAAAGAGAAGAAAGGGGTAATAAGGATACAAGAAAAGAACACAACCCAAAATTAGTCAAATCCCAGTCCTCATGGAGGACCATTCCAACATCAACAAATAAACTCATTACATTACAACATACCCAGTCCCTAAGAAATGGAGGCCCCCCAATATAGATCAGCTCTATCTTCTCAAGATCCAAGTGAATGAACTGTTCATCTTATATTGAAGACCTCTAGTTTCCCTCTTAAAGTGCCTAATCTGCAAGTCTGCAACAGATCCCCCTCTCCATTTATCTATCCAGTGACATTTTATGAATTTCCTGATTCCAGTCATTAAAAAGAAAACAAGAGACAAGAATCTTGCTTCTCTAATCTGGCACTTGAGTGTCCAAGGCAGTGTTTTAAAAGCGCAAGGCACAAAAAAGGCGCGGGGGTCAATTTGCGCCAGGCGAGGCACGTGCCTTTTTGAAGCAAGGTGCAAAATACAAAAAAAAAAGCTAAAAAATAAATAATAAATGTTAGAAAATTCAAAAAATGTCAAAATTTTCAAAAAACAAAAAAATATTAAACATAATATTAACAAAAAAATATAAACTTAAATTTTAAAAAACCTATTATCTAAAATTAAAATACATAAACATAAGATGTAAAGAATATTCAAATGAGAATTTAAAAATAAAATCAAACATATAAAACATTTTCAAGCATGTAAAACCTCTAATCTCTTTTTTCACTCAATTGCATTACTTCAAGTAGCTAATGTAATGTAAAACATATTACATTCCTGATTCTACAAGCCGCCTTTGTGCCACACCACCGGAGCTCCGAGAACCCTCTATTTGCTAATGTTGTTCATTCATTCATCTTAATAAAATATTTTCTTAAAAAGCAATTAAAATTATAAATTCATTATTTTTTGTGTGAGAACTAAGAATTTAACACCTAACATAGACTTGTTTGGGCTTGCCTCAAGGGGCGTGGCACGGGGGTCCGGGGGCAAAGCCCCCAGCCCAGCCACTATGTTCAAAAGAAGCAAAAAAAAAACATCAAATTTTCAAAAGGTGCATGCCTGGGCTGAGGCACAAGGCGTGAAAGGGCTGCTGCGTCTAGGACCTAGGCAAGGCACATACCCTAAAATGCACCTCGCCTGTGCGCCTAGGCACGCCTTTTAAATTACTGGTCCAAGGGCAATCTGAATTAGTTGACAGCTATCCAATTACAACCTGGAAGTCCCTTTCTAAAATCAAACTTCTCAAATCCATGGATTGTGTTACCCACAGCAACAATGGTCCTACTAATTACTAAAGCCCCTTTCCAAGATACTTGCCACATCATCATCATCTCGTATTCTCATTGGGAGTGGATTGGCAACTCAGCCTGCTCTGACTTTGTCTTCTAACCTACCAAAAGGTGAAATCCCAGACTGACCATTATGTCACTTGAATCAATGCACCTGAAAACCTATTCATTGGCACCATTCTCTCCAACCGACCACCAAAATAGACCCAAAAACCATGCCATCCACCAACTCTATCTTCAGATGCATCACTGCATCTGCATTGGAATGAGCAAAATGATCTTGCAATTTCTGTTCCCTAAGCAATCCACCTTCACCACTCCTGCCTGACCCACCAGCCAATCTACCACTACCTGGAGCTCAAACAAAATTATGGGCACTAAGGCAATGCTGTGAAAAAAAAAAATTCAAAATAATGAAGAAAAGTAAGAAAAGAATCAAGTCAAAGTTAACCCCAAAATAAAACATGAATAGGGAATATATGCGAGTCCAGCTAATCCTAAGAGGCATAAGCCAGGAGTGACAACTAAATAGAAGCATGAGACAAGCAAAATGGAAAATTGCTTAACTGTCACAGCTCTTATAAATAAAATATAAACTAACTTAAATGAATAAAACTAGAAAAAATGCATAGTAGTGACAGAAAAACATTTGAACGATCCGATACTCATAAAAAGAAAACCAAGTGAAAACATGAAGTACCTCAACTAACCATGATTTAACTTATATCGTTTAGACCTTTAGAGACAAATGATGTTCAATCATTGAACACAGGTACAGGATATATTGTGAATATGCCAAGAACAGTATTTGGGAATCTTGTTCAATCATTGAACAAATGGTGTAGCCATATCCCTTCAAGAGTCTGTTTCTTTGTCTGGGAAGCTTGTCTTCAGAAATTAACTACTTGTTTTTTTTACTACTAAAGTATTCGGGAAGACTGCCCATCTCTCCTCATGTTTGCATTCTATGCTTCAGTGAAGGTGAATCAGCAGATCACATATTTCTTCACTGCAAGTTCACCCAAAATATTTGGTTCCATTTCTTGAAAATGGCAGGTTACAGCTGGGTTATATCAGAACACATTATGGACTTTCTGCATCAATGGCAAAAAACAGGTTCAAGTAAAAGGGGTAAAATTTATTGGCAATCAGTGCTACATGCAGTCTTGTGGGGAGTTTGGGATGAAAGAAACAAACATCTCTTTGACAACAAATTCAGACCCCTGGAGGAATTAATTTCAGACATTAGTTACCTTTGCAACCTCTGGACGGTTAATTCAGATCTGTTCAAAGGACTCTCAGTCAATGATCTCAATAGAGATGCTTACTCCTTTCTGTTTACCCCTCACCTCCATCGAACAACCTTGAGACATCCTGACCCCATCAGTGAAGAAGTGATGACCCTAAACTTAAATAAAAGTGCTTTAGGTAACGCTGGCTTAGCTGGTATTGGAGGCATAGTAAGGGATGAAAGGGGCAACATATGCTGGACTTTCAGTGGTCCAATTGGTTTGGCTGAGTCCACAAAGGCTGAAGTGATGGCTGCTCTCACAGGAATATAATAATAAAAAATTTGGGAGTCCAGAATTTAATCATTGCAGGTGATTCAGCAAATACTATAAAATGGTTATGAGACAAAGAGGGGGGACCTTGGAGATTGAGCCACTACCTGGCAGAGGCTAGGGACTCTTTGGACTGTTTAAATATAAAATTAGTTTGGATTCCTAGGGAACACAATCATACAGCAGATGTCTTAGCCAAATGTGGCGTATTTTTGGATCATTTGTATAGCGACAAGCTTCCTCCTTTGTAATCTGTTGGGGTTCTTCCCCTGTTTTGTACATCTTCTCATGTACCTCTTCTTTTTTTAATGAAACCTGTTGCAGAAGAGAAGGCCTTCTATGTGTTTGTCTCCTAATTGGTATGTATGATTCCTAGGGAACACAATCATACAGCAGATGTCTTAGCCAAATGTAGCATATTTTTGGATCATTTGTATAGCGACAAGCTTCCTCCTTTGTAATCTGTTGGGGTTCTTCCCCTGTTTTGTGCATCTTCTCATGTACCTCTTCTTTTTTTAATGAAACCTGTTGCATAAGAGAAGGCCTTCTATGTGTTTGTCTCCTAATTGGTGTGTACTTTGCAGGACTAATGGTGAGGATTGCCCACACTTACATTTAACCTGTTCTTTTTCTGTTGCTATTTGGGGTTGGATCTTTGCTTTGTTTGGTTGCAGATGGAATTTGACCACAGCCATAGATCAGATCTTTGATCCTTCCTTCTGTGTGGCCCAAAAAAATTGGTAAAACAATGTGGAGGTGCATTAGAGCTACTGCTTTGTGGACAATTTGGGAAGAAAGAAATGTGAGGATCTTCCAAGAGAAGGAGAGAAATATTCAGAATGTAAAGGATTGCATTTTGACCAGGGCAATCGATTGGCTGAGATCATTAGATTCCTTTAAATTATATTCCTTTGATGACATGTGGAGGAACTGGATTGTTGTGGCTAGTAGCAGTAACAGGAAGAACAAGGTACCAGCTGTGTGGGTGCCTCCTTCAGAAGAATGGACAAAGCTGAATTTTGATGGTAGCAGCCAAGGAAAATCCGGGTCCATCAGGGATAGGTGGGGTGTTGAGAGATAAAGATAGTAACATATTAGCTTTATTATCAGGCTCTGTGGGTATAGGAAACTCTATTAGAGCTGAGCTTCTAGTGGCAGAACAAGGTATTCAGATTGCAGACCAGTTAGGAGTTCAGAATTTGATTATTGAAGGAGACTCCAAAGTTGTTGTGGGTTGGTTAAAAAATCCAGCTTCAGTGATTTAGTGCTACAGGGATATTATTGAAGTTCTCAAGGAACATGAATGTTAATTATCAGTGGGTGGGTAGAACAGCTAACACCATAGCGGATGGGTTAGCTAAACAAGGGGTATCAAGGGAACATTTATTCTGGGCAGCTTTGTAAATTTTTTGTTACTAGTCTGAGGTAGTACGTTGTTGTTGTTGTGGAGAGGTACCAGCTCATGCCTCTCCTTTGGGCAGGCTGTATTGTAATATCATTTTGAATATCATAAATAAAATTTCAATCATTTATCAAAAAACAATTCTCAAAAATATGCGAAGAACAGAGGTTAGAGGTGTCCAAAAGGTTCAGTTCCAGTAGCTGGCTTTTAAATTAGAAGAAAAAGAAAATACATTAAGATAATGAAAAAGAAGCCTCATTCTATCTATCATTCTCGCCTACTTATTGCTCATTATCAACATAAAGAGAGACTAAAATTACATAACAGAAAAACAAAGAAGAAAAACCAGGATCTATACAGATTCACCCATTTTATACAATATAATAATAGGTTCTTCAATTGAAGGAGACCATCACAAGAGAAACATAAAACTTATACTTTAGGAGATGAATACACACTTCAACAAAATACATGCACAAATAAATATATAGATAAGTACACATGTTACATACATTATATATATATAATCTTAATTAAAAAATGGTTAGAATAACCAAATAATTGTTATTATGTTTTTGAAGAGTAAAAAGAAAATTTTATTAGAACTAAAAAGAAACAAAAGCAGTCCAAGTACAAGCGACTTCCAGGTGTTAAGATAACACCTGCCCAACATACAGACGAGACTATATTTATCAAAAAAAAAAAAGAAAGAAAGAAAAAACATACAGAAGAGACAAACAAGAGCTCAAAAAACAAAAGGGTACGGTGGACAGAACATAGCAAATTAATAGTCTTCTTCAAAGAAATCATCTTCTCCACCTTCCTCATTCCATACCTCTCCTCCTTCCCCAGCAGCAATCTTCCTTGAACTTTCTACCCTCTTTTCTTTTTCAAAAAATTCGAAAGCCCTTCTAGCGAACTCCTCTCCACCCAAAAAAAAAACATACCTAAGCTCTTACCCACCTGAACTTCCCTGTCAACCAGACAATTAATCTCCACTTTTCCCCCCTTCTCACCTATAATGGTTGAAGAAGACGCATGTGAATTTTTCCCACTATCTCGATCGCCCTTTTCCACCTTATCCACCAACTCTGACCTCGGCTCCAAACCTTCCTCAGAAGCCAACGTCCTCTGCAGTTCTACTCCTAGATTTTGGCCTTTAACTCCCCGAAGCTCAGAAATCTTCGTCTTCGAAGCTTTACCTTTTGGATCTCTCTTCTTATACACTTTCTTAAATTTGTTGGTGGGACCAGCACCGACCAGCCCATCTTTCAAACGAGAGAAAACTTTAGAGACATGAACAAGGTGAAACCTGCTTTCATCTTTTCCTTTCCTCAAAATCTTTGGAGCAACATCATCCCTAACCTTGAAATCAGAAGTTCTTCTTTGGCCTAAATCAACCCCAAGTCTTCCCCACTGAGACTTCAAAACTTAAATCCTCTTCTAGATCTTCTGAAGAATCATTTTCTTGTTTTTGTGCCTGCATCCTCAACATGACTTATTTGTTCTAAGCTCTTAATTTCACCTTCTTCAAGATTCTCTCCTTCTCTCCTCCCACTCCGAGTGCTTTCTTCCTCCCTTACATCATCCTCCTTTCCTCCCTTATCTCCCTCACACCTAATAACTTCCTTATTAAACAAAACCAGCCGCCCCTCCCGAAGCGGATCATTAGGAATTTCAACTTCAGAAGTACCAAAACAAATAGACTTTCCAGCGGCAGATTAAGAATTCTCTGCTCCTCCGAATTCCCAATACTCTTCTCCCCATGGGCAAGCTTACCTCCAGCACACTCAAGTCAGTTAAACTCATCCTCACTAACTTGGTTCACCTCCTTCAAGCTCACACTTTTCCTTCCATCTCTGTCAAAATTGGTGACAACCCAAACCCATTCCTCAGTCTTGTCGAATCAAAGCCTGTGAGAAGATCTCTTTCACTTTCTCCTCCTAATCCATTTCTATTCTTTGTTTTCTTTTGGTTGAACCCCCTAATACCGCCACTCTTAAGCCTCGGTCTGAGAGGATGGTCCCCACTCTTATGCTGAAAACGAACACGGAACACCCGCCCACGTCTTCCTCTTTACCCTTCTCTTAAAATTCCCCTTTCGAATTCCCAAGGGACCTTTATCTCTCAGCACACTTTTACTCTTGTCGCGGGCCCCAGAATTCTAAAAATCTTTTAAATAATGTACTCCTGAAACCTTACCTTTAATAAACGATGGCTCCTTTAAAGTCGCTTCAACACCACCCATAGACAGTAACAAATCTGTGCTAACCACATGGGCCCAACCTCTACTTTGCTCCAAGTTCAATCTCGAAAAGGAGCAAATAGCCTCTTCGGGAACAACCCTCGTTTTAAAGCCTCTTCCTAACAGGTGTCCCTTCTCAGCTAACCCCCCTTCATCTTCTATCCCCACAATTCATCTTTTACCCTCCCACCACTCTAAAATCTACCCTTTCTCCTCTATTCAACTATCCAACTCCCCTTCTCTTCGTCTCCCATCACCTTCTTCCTCCGGTGACCTGCAACTGCAGCTCCACCTTTTCCTCCTCGTGACGAACAGAGTCCTGAATTCGATTCGGCAATACTACTGAGTCCTCCTCAAGCCAGCGAAGCGGCATGCAGCCTTCGATCACCACCCTCAGGTCATACCACTCCCCAGCAAAATTTAGCACCAGACTCAAAGGAACCAAGAATGTCCTCAACTTCTACCAGTATTCTTGCTGCAACCAGATTCTTCATCTTGTATGTGAAAACATCAATTCTTCTGAATCAACCACATGTGTTTCCCACGGCACAAAATGTAATCAGGTTCCAGGCATGAAGAGGGATCCCGAAGAAGTTAATCCAAACCAGGCTCCAATGCCCCACTTCTCGTATTGCCCCTACTAGGTGGATTCCATTTACCCAGCCTAAGATCAGGCGTTCTGAAACTAAATAAATCTCGGTCCAGAATTTCATCTGCCTCTTCCTTACTGCTGAAGATAAGAAGAAAAAATCCTGTATCTAGTTTCCTCACCTGGACTTCTTCTTTCAAGCTCCACGCTGATCTAACCCAACTCTGAACCTCTAACTTGTCGGGTTCAGAGTTATCCAATGTCCCTCCAGGCATTTCTCTAACTATCTCATCCTCTCCAGAGCCCCTTCGCTCGAATCCACGAAGATCTCTCTAACCATTTATCACCGAATCCACGAAGAAAGTTTCTACTAGAAATTTTGATACGAGAAAGAATCTGTGCTAACCACTAGAAATTTTGATACGAGAAAGAATCTGTGCTAACCACTAGAAATTTTGATACGATGAAATAAGTGCTATTATATCTTAATGTAAAGAGTACTTGTTATATACTTCATTTTTTTATTAGCATTAGGAATATTATCATTTACTACAAGTTTTAGCAAGCCTGAACACAAACCAATTTCAGTGAGTCAGGCTTGGGGAAGAAAGAATGGAAAAGCAAGATAGAAAAAGAATTCTCAAATTCACTACTTTCAGTGTTCCACTGTTAAGCTACAAACAAAATGGACTGCACAGAATACAGAAAGTAATGATTTTTTATCAGAAAAGAAAGAAAAACTTTATTAATTAAATCAGAAAATTAGTACAACTTATGGGAACTCCACCAGCCTTAGAAACGCCAGATTACAATTTTGCCCAGAATAAGGTGAGTCTGTCAACTCCCTGCTTTGCTAACACATCTGCCATCCCATTTGCGGTTCTCCTCACCCAGATTACAATTTTGCCCAGAAAGTAATGGATTTTTTTATGCTCTCTGTCAGTGATGGATAATAGAATGACTAGGAGGGCTAGTCACTCTGTTATGCACTAAATCACAGAACCTGGGCTGTTTTTCCATTCTTGCCATGTAATCCAAAACAGCCTTGCTGTCAAATACATCATTAATATGTTTTGAAAATCGCAACGGTATTGTTAATTGTAGAGAAAATTGAATCATATCCAAGATTCAAAATTTTGACATGATACACCCTGTATTGTATCATATATCAGCAGGTCCCAAAACCCAAAAATAAGGGGTGTTTCAGATTTTGACCAGTGTCGGGGTAGGCAGGCCTAAAACTGATCCTGTGAAGCAATTTTGGGGGAAAAAAAAAAGCTATTAGGTATTGAAACACCCCATATACATGTTTGTGCATATCGGGTGTAGCAATACTTTGAACTTTAATTGTATCATAAATTGTGAGCATTTCAGTTTTTTACAAAACAAGAGTTTACCACTTGTAGAAGCCTATGATGACATAATCATCTTCAACAAATAAATATCAAGTAATAAACATATAATGGCTCTTTAACCTATACTCATGGAACATAAACTCAATACGGTTTCTAGAAGGTCTTAAATTACCTAAATAATTCATTTCCTAGTAGAATTTTAAACCAAACCTCCTTGAAAGAGGTAAAAGAAACAAGGGAATGACAAAGTAGAGAAGTAGATCTTAATTGAATTGGTTTAATTCACATGAACCATATAAATCATAAGATTCATTAAACAAATCGTAGGATTCAAAGAAAAATGACAAGTTTTTTTTGGCAAATATGCCAATGAAATGTTTTTAAACACCAAATATAATGAATACAATACACGAATCATTTACTTAAACAAATTCAGGGACATGAAAGGAACTTGTATTTCTAGTTTCTAAGTGGTGACATGAACCTAGTTTCATGTGTCTTTTAAAACAAGGAGTACATAGGCAACACATGCTCCCATGTAGAACTTATTTGATCATTGACTATTTCAGTGAATGACCATACCTGCACAGGTGGGAAACTAATTTTACCAATATGATCTTCTGCAGTGAAACCGAATATTCCCACAACCTGCATTGCACCACTTGAAGATTTTCAACTATGCCTTGATTTCCAGTAGAACTGACCTCAGTGAAAAAGTCAGAGAACATTTTGCATTTGACAGAAACAAAGTAGGGTTTTGATCAAGCCCTTCATCAAAGAGATTCACCACTGGTAATCACCTTATTGAATGTCACACATTTTGCAACTCTGACCATATTTTTGTAGAATGCACTGCACAAAATATTGTAAGTGTAAGGACATAGGACAGCATACCAACAAATGTAAAATTGACTTAAAAAAACGGAGTTCAACTTGGTCTTCGCAAAAAAAAAATGAAGTGAACATTGTTTATGCTTTGATAGTTTTGATGTAAGAGTGGAAAACAAAACTTCCTCTTTAACTAATGTTTCAATCTGAATATCTTCGACTCCTTTTACAATGAAACAAACAGAGACTTAGTTGAACATGGGCTGAAAAAATAAACACTCAAATTATTGTCAAAAATCTATACTTAAGTTGTAGCCAACTTTTACAAATTTATGATACTTCAATTGCTAAAGTCCATATCATAATTAAAAAGATCATAGTATTTCAACGAATCTCAATATAAGAGGAAGGGCAGCAAGGATAGTATTCAATTGGCAGCTTGATTTATGAGAGTATGAATAAAGATCAAGGGGTGTATTTAGCTGGATTGAATACAACATTGGGCATATGCAATGATAGATAGCTTGTTGGGGGAAGGTTATTTGGGGGCACTATTGGCCACTAACAACTTGCTTCCAAGTCACTTAGGCCCTGCATTTCAAGTCATATTAACCATCTTCTCTGCTGCACCAGGAGTGTTGCCCCTTCTTCTATCTAATCTATATGCTTTGCTCATTGGCAACATATTGCTCCAGCCGCTAGCTGTAATAGCTTGCTTCTTTTCTCGAGTGGCTCACACAACTGGTGGTGTGGCTGAGCCAAAGTGGGCTCAATAGTGGGGCACAATCTATAAAAGAAGGGTGTGAAATGGGAAATCATACCCAGGAAAGAAGAAACAGTATGGCTGAAGAAGATATGACCTGTTTTGGGTGAAAGTGTGGTCCTCTTGATGTATCTATATTGATCATATCTATGGATCAGGCAGCCAACCATAATTTTTTTTTTTCAATCCAATAAAGCTTTAAGTTAGCAAGCAAAGAAAAAAATGAAGATATGAAGAACAGAAGCTTCAGGAGAACATATTGATAAAGAATCAGATCAACAAAAGGATGGTGTTGATACTGTAATCAACAAGTGAGATGGATTTTTTGTAATAAAATAAAATAAAATTTATTGAGAAAAGAAAAAAAAAAGACACAGGGAAGGTGACAAGCAGTCACCCAAGAGAGGAAACAAAGAACAATATCACCCTAATTAAACCAAAGATCACAATGAAGATCCAAAACCCACGCCCAAACTCCCATGTCATCCCCACCTGAACAAAGAAAAAAAAGTCCCCAACTACAGCAAAGATAACAATACACCCATAACCAATCTCTCATAGCATCCCAAACCAAATGAAATTAAACCAGCAGTGACAACAAAACCCTTTAAGACCCTCCCAAATACAACTTTAGCCCCCCCAGACCCAAAGAATAACCATCTTAATCCATGATAACAGCTTCACCCGCAGATTAAGATAGAATTTCTTTGCTCCTCTTGCGAGCTCTTCTTGGCTTCTTTACCTTTTTGCTGGGCCCAATCACAAAAAGTCCTCCTTTTAACCTGGCAAAAACCTTTGAGGCTTTGACGGTTCAATAATCTTTTTGATTTCTGAATCTTCTTATGTACTAGAGAAGCTGTTGGATTCTTTCATACCCTGAGAGCAATCATTGATTTTCTCTAACTCCAAAACTGCACTCAAAAGTTTTGATTGTGACTATCTCGCCCTCTTCTTCATCAAACAAATATTCTCACCTTCAAAGGTCCTAGAATCTAGAGTTTCTCCAACTTGAAGGCTATTACCACACTCCTCATCTCTTGGAATCGCTTTCATTGGAACTCTCTTCCAACTTTTTGAACATTTTCCCTGTAAACTCCTCTCCTCCCAAGACAAGTAGGCCCAGTAATTTACCAACCTCAACCTCTGTCCCCACTTTTTCCAAGGCAAATGGTGTGTTAATCTGGTAAGTTTCAATCCATCTTTATTCTTTCAGCTTGGTCTGAATCATCTTCCTTTGAATCAGTTGAATGCCCATCATCCTCAGACGAATCATCAGCGACCTCCTTACCTTCTTTCCATGTTAGTGGTCTGGTATGATAGCTTCTCTTTCTATTATAGACTTTGAAGCAGGGCTTTTCTGATACTTTTCCCCCCTCCTAAATCACTTACTTCCCTATTACTTCCATCCACGAAACTGCTGTCAACATTAGACCCCACACCCCTTCCAGCCTTCCCCCTCTCCACCAATCTCAGAGGCTCCACTCTGAACATTTCCTCTTTCTTTAGCTTCACCTCTGAAAAATTCCAATTTCCAAGTTCTTGTAATTTTCTTCAAAGGATTATCCTTTCTTCTGTAGATAAATTTTGTTTTAAACCAAACATAGTCTTTCTCATCTTGTGAAGGCCATGTGCCTCTTTAATTTGACCAACCCTCCATCTAAGTTGGGCCTGAATACTCTAAATGGCCCACCTGCCCCTAACCCTTTGTCTTCGTTTTGAGGCCCAGACAGGCCCACCTCTATTACTTAATAAGTGATCACATGAGGTACCACTGCTCAAATGACCCGATCTATCCATTTGGCCCAGTAATAAACCATCACTCAGTATTTTTAGCTTCCCCATCATATTTTCACCTTCCCTAAGCACCTGACCATTACTACTACTAGTCAGAGTTTGTGTGTCTGACTCTGACCTACAACTCGTCAATTCGCCTTCTCCATTTAGTTCTCCAGAATTCAAAAGGCTTCCATTTGAGTGGAGTGACCCAAATCCTTTTAGCCTTCCCTGGTCTTCATCTTCCTTATTAGTGAAACTTCTTGGGAAATGTGAATTCCCCACTACTAAGTTCCCACGTAGAATATGACTTTCCATGTCGTCATTTTCTTCCCTGTGCCCCTCTCTCCAAAACAAAGCATCAACTGCGAGGTTATGAGCCATGCACTGTAAGCAACTCCATCTGCTTCAACTTTGATATTCTTGGTATTCCTTTGTATTTTGCTCCCACCACCCTGATAGCTGTTCAGAGCAAATTTCCCAAGAATGTTCCCACAAGGAACCCCTCCAACAGAGAAGCAATCATCTTTCACGTTGCTCTCCAACCATAGATGGAATGGCAGCCCCAAGACTCTAATCGCCACTTCTTCACCTGCAGAAGTGGATTTTGCACTGGCTAGCAGGCACTATTTTGATATTAGCACTCATTTAGCAGTTAGCCATCTTCAGATTCCAGTTGTCACATGGATCTCCACTGAATCCTCAAAGAAATCCAGCAGAGCTCTATTTTTATTGACTGAAGTTAGCACGAAAGCCCCTGTCACTTTTAGATTTTCTCTTACTATCTCCCCTATTTTGACCCAGTCTCTTGCCTCTTTCTTGGCGAAGATTGCCAAACAACATTCCCATTCAAATTGGTAAAATTTGGGATTGTTCTTTTTTTTTATCAGTAACAAGATGCTTTATTAAATAATAAAATTTGTGAAGCTTTAAGTACAAGAAAGGGGAGGTAAACTATCTTCACTCCCCCACAACAGGGAACAAAAAACGAAAGCTAAAACTTAGCCCAAAACATTGATTCCTTAAGCGTCCCTTGCTTGGCTAACCCATCAGCCATTGAGTTAGCGCTTCTCTTCACCCAACTGTACTTCACCACAATATCCCTACTCAGCCATTTAAATTTTTTCTTTTCATTTCTGTAGCTCCACAAACCATTGCTGTCTTCCTTCAGCCACCTAATCACCACCTCTGAGTCCCCTTCAATGACCAAGCATCGAATGTTTAATTCTCTTGCTCTTTGGATTCCTTCCTGAACTGCTAGAATCTCAGCCCTAAGAGAGTCACCCTTTCCAGTCGGGGCTGAGAAAATAACATTAATAATCCCAACCTCATTCCTGAAAACTCCCCCAATCCCAGAAGGCCCAGGATTCCTTAAGCTACTACCATCAAAATTCAGTTTTATGAATCCTGAAAAGGGGGGGGGGGGGACCAAGAAGGTCTAGAGATCCTCTTACATTGGGCCGAGGTAGCTATTTCTTTCCACTTTCTCAATATGTCAACCATGGAATAATTTGATAATAGCTCCATAGATTTCGGCCATTGAACTACCCTTAAGTGTATCAATTCAATTAAGTTATCCATGGTTCTTTCCTTGTCTGAAAAAAGTCGTGAGTTTCTCTCTTCCCATATGGACCAACACACTGCCACCCTAATGCTTCTCCACATGACCTTCCCTCTTTTCTTAGGCCATCTTGAGAACGAAGGAGAGAACAAGCTTTGCACACTTACAGGGGGATTCCAAGTACATCCAAAAAGGGAAAAAACCCACTCCCAAACAGTTTTAGTAACCAAACAAGTAACCATAAGTTGGTAACCCGTTTCCCCATCAGCTTTGCAAAGAACACACCTATTGGGAAGTAAACAGGAATTGGGTCTCTTTCTTTGAAGCAAGTCGTTTGTGTTTATTCTTTCCAGGAAAGTTTCCCAACAAAAACTACCAACCCGAGGAGGAATGGATTTGCTCCAAATCTCTTTAACAGGGAAGGACAACCCAAAGGGAGCAGAAGGTTGGACCAAAGTCACGAAAAACAACGCACAAGAAGGAACTAGTGGAGGAGAGGGTCCAAATTCTGGAGTCATCCTTACTCGAGTCCAAGAAAACATTTTCAAAGATGGCAAGCAAAGACGACAAACAACCCATGTCTGTATCCCTTATTGTTCTTCTCAACCCTAGATTCCACCCAAAGCCAGAAGTAGAATCTGAAGGAACTAAGAAAGAAGAAATGGGTTCACTTTTAAAATCTGACAAAGCATACAAGGAGGGAAATTGGTCCATCGGGGATGAATCCCCAACCCAAGGCTGCTCCCAAAATTTTATAAGATTACTAGAGTTCAAATCACACCTTATCCAAGGGGAGAAAACCGGAAGCAAATCATGAATGGCTTTCCAAGGGGAAGCAGTTGTAGTCCTTGCCAAGATTCCTGGAACCCAGTCATTGTCTTCCAGCCCATGTATGCTAGCCACTATGTTCGTCCATAATTTGTCCATGTCCATTGGAAACCTCCATAACCATTTCCCCAACAATGCCATATTTCTTTTCCTGATATTCCCAAGCCCAAGCCCTCCTAACTTCTTACTTCTAGTTACCACCTCCCAACTCACCCTATGATCTTTCTTCTCCTCTCCCGGTTCCCACAAGAAATCCCTCATTAACTCCTCCACCCTATTTGAGACCTTTGTAGGAATCTTAAACACTGGCAGAAAGTAAGCAGGAAGGTTAGCTAGGGTAGACCTAATCAAAGTGATTCTCCCCCCTAGTGAGAGAGAACTTTTCCTCTAGGAAGCAAGCCTTTTCTCAAATCTTTCCAATACCGGGTTCCAAAAGTTGTCCTTCATGGGATTATCTCCTAAGGGGAGGCCCAAGTAAGTCGAAGGCCAATCCGAAATTGCACACCCTAACAAACTTTCATATTCACTTACTTCCCTCTCCTCCAAATTCACTCCCACCATACAGCTCTTATCAAAATTCACTTTGAGATTAGACATCTGCTCAAATAGTTGTATTGCCAATTTCAAATTCCCTATCCAATTTATGTCCCCACCTTCACAGAACATAATTGTGTCATCTGCAAATTGTAAGTGTGCACGTAGTACTTGCTCCCCTCCTACTCTCCACCCTTTTACTAAGTTCCTCAAGTCAACTCTATGAATCAGTCTCCCCAAAACATCTGCAATCAGAGTGAATAGGAAGGGGGAAAGTGGATCTCCTTGTCTTATTCCCCTCAAGGCAAGAAAGAAATCCGTCACAGTTCCATTCACCAAGATAAAATAGTGGCAACTCCTAACACAACCCCAAATCCATTTACACCATCTGTTTACAAAGCCAAAACTTCTCATCACCTCCACCAAGAAAGACCAATCAACTAGGTCATAAGCCTTCCCTAAGTCTAATTTCCAAACCACACCCTTCTTCTTGGATTTCCTAAAACTTTCCAGACTATCATTTGCAATCAAAATTTGATCAGTGATCTGCCTCCCCTTCACAAAAGCTCCTTGGTTGGGTGCAATAATGGTGGGAAGAACTTTCTTTATCCTTAGAGACAACACTTTTGCAATTATCTTGTACAGACTATTCACCAAACTGATAGGTCTAAAATCCTTTGGTTGTGAAGCCTCTTTCTTCTTTGGGATCAAAGCAATAAAAGTGGAGTTTAGGCCCCGATTAATTATTCCCCTTCTGCGAAACTCCTCAAAGACTCGCACAATATCTTGCTTCACAATATCCTAGTAGTCCTGATAAAATGCCATTGCGAACCCATCTGGGCTTGGAGCTTTTGTCATATCCATCAAAAACACTGGTTCCTTTATCTCCTCTAGATTAAAATTCTTCTCTAACCCCTCCCTGTCCACTCCACTTAGAGTAGGCCAATCCAGCCCCTCCAGCCAAACCCTCTCATTTACCAGCCTTCTAAAAATAGCTTTAAAATGATTTATAAAGGGCTCTGCTATTTCTGCTTGGTGGGAAATGACTGCACCTTCAACTTCCAATTTTGAAATGAAATGCTTCCTTCTCCTACCATTTGCCATAGAATGGAAAAACCTCATGTTTCTATCTCCCTCCTTTAACCATTTACATCTAGATTTTTGTCTCCAACTTATTTCCTCCTGAAACAAGAGATCTTCCATCTACCTCCTCACACTCCATCTCAGCTCCCTGTCTTCCTCTCCAAAAGATCCCCTTTCTTCCTTCAAATCCAATTCCTCTATCTGCTCCATCAAAGTCTGCTTTCTCTTCTCCAATCCTCCAAACTCCAGACGGTTCCACTCCTTTATTTAGGATTTTAGGAATTGAAGCTTCTTGTGGAATTTCATACCCTCCCACTTTACTGACGAATTACATTGCTCCCACCATTCTCTGATTTTCTCAATGAAGTCTGGATGGGCCAACCACATATTCTCAAACCTAAAGGGGGTAGGTCCTTCTCCTCTTATTTCCTCCTTAAACATCATTATGGGCCAGTGGTCTGAGGTGAGTCTAGGGAGTGCCCTAGAAGTTAGATTCCCCTAATGCTGATGAAAAGGGATGGAATTGTAGGGTCTTAAATTCTTAATCCCTACACAAAAAAAAAATGATTTTATAATTTAAATTGCATTTTAAGAAGATATTTTATAGGATGAATCAATGAACAACATTAGCAAATAGAGGGTTCTCTGAGCCCACCCAAGTTGCACTCCTACTTTCTTCAAGGTCTGGGACTATTTTCGTCAATAAAATCCAACGAAGTAGGAGGTGGATCAATGGAGAAAAGGATGTTGCATGGATCTTCAATTACACTCTTAGGGAGATTAAGTTATATAGATAGCAATCTTATCATTCAGATGGACGAAAAGATCGTCCAACGCCCTAGCAAATGAGCTTGCAAGAGAGTCAATATGGGAAGAGCTCTATAAGAGCTCGTCCTGTAATGGCTAGGTAAAGGTTTTTTGTAAGGGTGAGGAGCCAAGTAGCTTTGCTGTATTCTTACTATTTTTCTGCTATTAATTAAATCTTTTCTGTTAATTATCAAAGTAGCATGTAAAAACTACTTACCCACCAACATAATCAAAATCTGAAAAAATGAAGGTCTTTGTAATGTCAAATCCACAGGCTATGATGTCTTTAGCATTCTCACGAGCAAGCCTCTGGCTCTCCTCTACTGAGAGGTTCTTCCACATGCACTTTTCATCATCAGTAAGTTGTATGACAAGGGGAACCTTAAAGGCATCCTGCAAATATCTGCAATTAATGTAAATGAGGCTCACAAACTAAGTTATTGGGCAGTTGACACTAAACTCAACAACTCATAAATCACAATCCAAGTGTATAGATTTGCCTCATAAAAAAGCTGCCACCATTTAATTTCTATAAGTAGGATGGAAATAAATTTGTTCACATCAGTCACTTCTTTATTTTTTTCGTACAAATTAAGGTCTCATGTATTAATTAGAAAATACATGGTATAGAAATGTGAAACCAAGGCCCATGTATAACAAGGAGCTATACATTGTGGCTTCAATATGCCCATGTGTCATCTATGGTACTCAAGCACATGTGCATAGATGCCATATTGTTATGATATCCAGATACTTATACAATGGGTCTGTATCATGTCAGATACTCCAATTTTAGTGCAAATTCTGTATATGATATAGCCATATAGTGTCACGTGCTTCAATTCTTGCAATAAATTATATGCCTGAAACATTGTTCATCCATATCATTTCTTCATTTGGTTGGCATAGGTATGATATCATCTAATAAATTGTGAATCACAAACAATAAAAAAAGTTCATAACAAGGCACTCCCGCGAAATTCTTACAAACTGATAGCCATGAACATGTTGCCCCAATAACCTTCACAGCACTAATTCCAAGTTCCAAGTTCAATGGTTAGTTTTAAACACATGGGCATGGTTTAAGATGTCAACATGTTTCCTAATATTTCCACAACATTTTTCCATTTCCATGGGTACCAATACAAAATACTACTGGAACCGACAAATTCCCCAATGAAAACTTCTGCTACCATGTGGAAAGCATGATATGGTATCATAGCATGATTAAATTGGCAACAATATTGCAAATATGTTTTTTAAGATAAATAAAGAAAAAATTTTATTAACTAAGAAAAAAGAGAAGAATACAACCAGTGATAGGAAATCACCCGAAAATAGAACAAAACAACTGAGACACAAAAAAACACCTAACATGCAGAACTCAAAACACCCCACACCAAACCCAATCCCAAATGAAACTCAAAACACCCAAACAACCAAAAATGATCACAACCACTGGGCTTGACCCCCAGCTCACCTTCCAAAGATCACAACCGGAGAAAACCTCACTATCTGAACCACCTGCCCAAAGGAACAAAACACACCCTTCCCTAACCTCCATCAGGAATGTTAGCATCCTCTTTCTTTTTCTTGCTGACTTTTTTTGTCTTCTTGATCCTTTTATTAATTCAACCCCAAAAAAGCCCCCCTTCAGTCTAGCAAACACCTTTGACACTGGTACAGATATGTTGAATTTTTTATGTCTAAACCTTTTAACCACATTATGAGGATCCTCATAATTCTTCCTTTCCAATCAATCAAGTTATTCTTAAGTTGTATGAATGAAGTTACCGTTTCCAATCAAAATAAATAAATAAATAATTCTTCCCTTCTCCCTGAGTCTCACTAATCCTTTCAAGCTCTAGGACCGCGTTTTTCTCAAACACCTGCTTTGCTGCCCAAAAAAAAAACCCATCGTTATGTAATGTCCTAGCTTCACTCTGAAGATTGTCGTCCTCCCCCCCCCCCGCCCCATTAACAGGAACACCAGAATTCAAACTATCTGCCTTGCTATCCTTCAAAGGCCCCCCAGTATTTTCTTTTTTTATATCAATAACAGAAACTTTATTAAGAATTATGAAGCTTTAGGTACAAAAAAGGGGGAGATAAAGAGTCTTATCTCCCCATCAGAAAATTACAATGAAAGAAGATTAAAAATTAGCTCAAAAAATAGCCTCCCTATTCACCCCTTGCTTGGCCAACCCATTTGCAAAAGAATTAACAGTCATTTTCACCCAGCTGTATTGTATCTCAATGCCTCTACATAGCCATAAGAATTTTTTCTTTTCATTATTGTAACTCCACAAG